TTGCAGAATGGGCAGGAGAGCCCTTTTCAATTTTGAAGCGTCACATTAAAAAAGCTCTATGTTGGGTCAATTTTGAGAAATGGAGGTTTATTACGCATACGTTCGTGAAGTTAGCGAAGCCTTTGCTTAGATATAAATGCAACAATCAATTTTGTTACACGTTCGCTCGATGGTAGCCCCTTATCACGAATTTAGGGCCCGTTTTGCAACAGCAGTCGTAATTCCGAGTCAAGGCGAGGATATCGCCGAAAATACCCGTGAACTGGAACGAACTCGGTCTGAAACGATAGACTGGTTCACTCTAATGTGAGTAAGGTCTTCGTTATGACAAAGTTGAGCTCGGGAACCAAGTTCTATGTCAACGGGAGCAAAATGTCCGGACGTCCAAACTTACCGTTGTAAGTGAGCAAAACTGGTGCCAAAAAGTAATCAATATCATCTCCCGCATGGACAACGTTTTCTTTTAAAGTACTGTTGATACTTAAGATCAAAGTTATGTTCAAACCATTGGAGACACCATAACGCCTAATTATGAAAGCATTCTGGGCCATAATAACGCATAAACCGTTCGTCTGCATCGAGTTCCATTCTGAACAAAATATTCAGCATGGAAGCTACTGTTTACGCGTATGTTACACTTCAGCTCCACAAACTTGAGGAGTTTAAACCGCGTGACATGCTAGAATGGTGGAACACAAAACATAACCACGATGCTCGCCGCTAAAAACTGTACCACAAAACGTGCATAAATAGGCATGCTGGCTTGTGCCTATTTAAATCAGGTCCTTGACTCTTGATTCAATGGCCATTGACGTTCAATGTCGAACCCAAGGTTAAATAACGAGGAACATCAGAACGTCGAAAATTGACGGAGGAGAGCCGAAGCGTCAGGTATGGCTGCCCGGGCAGAACCTCCGCAGTCGCCGTCGAGCCAAAGTGACGAAACTTAATTCGACTCCGCAGCGAGACCTGGTTCAACTCTCCGTGGATTTTGTGCGGAACAGAGCCGGAACTGAGCCACTTAACCCAATCAGCAATACTGCGCTTTGTGCCAGAATTAGCTATATGACGCACGGTCCTATTCAGTTGGGCATTCATCAAAGTCGTGGCCCACTTGGCTCCTTCTCGACGCTCGTGCCCGTGTGGCCCATCCACCCATATGGACTATGAACTGATTGGAGTGTTGCGTCGCTGAGTGCCCAAATTACTCTATCGACGTCTTTTCTCACCAAAATGACTTACAAAGTTGAAGGAACCATGGCACATGAAGGCCTCAGCGATGCAGCTTCTCCTATCCAGAACTTAGTCTCCTGCAGCGAGGAAAAATTGTCTTCCGTTTCGACTCACCTTTGCTCTTTCAGATGCGTAACGTTTGTGCCAGGTTCCGTGCCGTAATTCGTTACGACAAACGTGACGAGAGACGGTGGCATCGGAGTGGAGTGCGAGGACACTGCAGATGCGCAGCGAGCAATCAGCGCCGATCGCCTTTCGCGGCCTGTGCTGGACGTGGAGAGGAAACGACGCATGTCGCTACACATATCGGTAAAAAAGAACACCACTCTCAACAACGCGGCCAGGGTAGCTTTGAGCTAATTTTACTTGACAGCTATGGCAGGTGACTAGATAGCAGCCATCCTGTCTGGGGTTCGAACCACGACCGCTCTTCGAATCCGGCTGAGGAGATGTAGCGAACTGATATCGACCAACTATACCATTTTTGCTTTCGATCTTAATGACCTATCACCTAAACTGCTTGCCAACGTTGAAAAGACTGAAGTCCGCTCCCTCATTCAGAATCAAATAAAATGTTACAAATGCCAGACGTTTGAACATACTAAGCCACACTGTCAGAGCCAAACGCTGTGTAGTAGGTGCTCGCCCACCGAGCAAAACAGTGATCACTGCCAGTTTGGACGGACCTGGCGTACCAACCACGGTAGACACTCAGTTCCTCGCACTGGATATGATCGAACCTGTGCGTAGTTATGCGTTAAATAGATATTTTTGCCAGTAAAACCTCTAGAAACATCACATTTCGTGGGGCCCCGGAGGTGTATGACAGCGTATAGTATCGCATGCAGCGAAGGCTAAGGCCCCGACACTAAGCCCTACGGCAATAGCCCAGATGTGTGCACCACAGGGGTCCTTCGCCGCCACCGCCACTCCGGGCAAGCACTTTGAACGCTGTTGAGCGGAGTCCACCGGGAGCTACCGCTTCCGCAGACGGTGGTAGTCCTCCGATACAACCCAGGATCTGCTCGAGCTTAGCGGGAGCGGACCAGCCAGGTATCGGACATAGTTAAAGCGATTCTCCGCCAGTTTTCGTTTTACTCAGAACCTCCAAATGAAGTAAACAACCGTTGACCGGCGATCGTCTGTTTTCAAGAAACGAAGCCGGCTCCAGTCACCTACTTTGACCTCTCCAGCTGCAAAGTCCTGCGCAGGGGCATGCCGCCTGTCAGTGCTGAACACGGCGGAAAGATTTTAAGAGTACAGTACGATAAGCCAGCCAAGCGCGTCAGGTTACAGACAGATTTGCAAGCGACTGCAGCTCAAGTGCTTTCTGGTCACCGCAGCCTGGAAACTACGCTTGCCTGAACTTGCTCCCGTGACCACCTCTCCGACGATGGAACTAGGGAAACTGGTGGCTGAGCGCTCACCGCCAGTCCTCATCTCATGCAATTTCAATGCTCACCATAATGCGATGGGATGCAGCCGGACATACTTTGCTGACAGACGCTCGAGGGCCTTTTCACATAATAAGTCCCTTTGTCTTTTGAACAAAGGGACCGAGCTCATTTGCCTTGCCATCTGTAAAGACCTCAGCACTAGATTTAAGCTTATAAAGTGAACGGTTGGTTAATCCATTTATTCGCTCCCAAATGCACGCTCGCTCGCTTGCAAATTTTAGCAGAAAAAAGTATTGACCCCAGGCGCTGCAGTCTCCGTAGGCCGTGCAGCGTCGGCACCGCGGCTTACATTTAACCGCGGCCGACGGGTAGACGGAAATGATGACGCATCTAAAAGAAGGAGCTTTGTACGCTTTTGGGCCTCAAATCGTATGCTTAGAAGATAGCTGGGCGTATTTTTCACCTCCGCGATTTTTAGATTGCTAACAAGAATGGACTAGCCTTTATAGCACCGCGAAGTGGTGCTGGAATTTGGTGATGAATCGGGAAGGGTTAAGGTAGAATCTCTATTTCTCGTTTTGCTGTGACTGTTAATCTGTCCAGCGAACAACCTTAAAGCTGTAAAAATGGTGCTCCCAGCATTCCCCCGTGAACGGCACGAATACATTTTAAAAATCATTTGGTAGCATTATTTCACGGCGGGTGATCTCGCACGCTCGGCATCCGCCGCCTGGTGTTACTTGCAGTGGCCAATGCTGTTTGGTTTCACGGAAACGCCAAACCAGGTCGCCGTAGTCCCTGCTCCCCAGATTGGGAGCGCGCGGGCCCAAAACTTTGATGTTATTTGTTTAATTGGTCGACTATGCAACAGAATGAAAGTTCACCAGCGAACATGAGATGACCATGTTAATTTTCAAATCATTTCAACGCACTCTTTTTAGTGTTAATGAGACCTGTTATTTGGTTACGGGAAAGTAAGCTCTTTTGAGTAGAACACTAAAGGACATTGTATTGTTCCCGGTCGGGGGGTGAAGGGCCATTCCATCCCAGCAACATGTAGGTGCAATCGTAGGAGCGAGAACAATATATTTTTTATAGACTCAGTGCCAATGTGAAACAGTATGGCGCCGCCACCAGTACGTTTGAAATTAAACATCCGCCGGAAGGATTGCTGACATATCCCGAAAGTATCAGGAACTGATATTAAACATGCACCTTGTGGTTTCCACGCTCGGAGGCTTCTTCCCAGGCTGCACCTCCGCGGGAATCCCCCTCGATCCTGGAAGGCCGACCTCAATGGGTCGTTTAACAGCGTGCGGCTGACGCTATGCCCGGCGCCGACCGCACGCCGACGGAACGACCGCCCTGGTGTCTGGCAGCGAACTGGGCGCCCGGTCTGCGGTCAAGGTCGCGCCGGCCTAACTCCGCTCCGACGAACAAAGCGGCCCGTGGTGACGTCACGCAGCAGCCATTCGCCGTCCAGGAACTTGCAAATTGCAGCGCTCCGGGTGATTTGGACGTCCATTGTGGTTTATGCGACGGAGTGGCGACGATTATTAGAAACCGGATAAGTGGGCGAGCGCGTCTTACGAGTCCAGACCTTTACGAAGCCATTGGACCTGCAGGGCCACCCCGAAGACCGTCACCCTGCGACGACGAATAGCAGGTCGGAATCGCCTAGCGCAGCAGCTGACGGACTCAGGTAGGCGTGGAGAGGTTAACTCCAGTGACGGACTCGAGAAGGCGCAGAGGTCAGCTCCAGTGACGGACTCGAGTGGGCGTAGAGGTCAGCTCCAGTGACGGACTCGAGAAGGCGTAGAGATCAGCTCCAGTGACGGACTCGAGAAAGCGTAGAGGTCAGCTCCAGTGACGGACTCGAGTGGGCGTGGAGAGGTCAGCTCCAGAGGTGCTGTGGCGGCACTTTGAGGCTCCGGTACGGCAAGGCTCGCTCGCTTCACGGACGGGCGTCTTTTGCACCCAGAATCACAGACACACGCTTGGGAAGAAAACGCGGAGCATCGCTCCAAACTGAAAACTCCAACCGTGAAGATCGTCGGGAAGGAGAGCCGCGTAAAGCGGAGCGTCTGCATGTGCCGGCTCGCGATGCCGGTGAAGCAGGCAGCTCAAGTGCTCCGCTGCTCTCCAGCTTCAAATACGGCATGTCAGGGTTCAAAGTCTCTTTTAAAAGGCTGCAGTTTCAAAACCAACCAAGCATCTTCGTCTCGTGAGCCTTTACATTTTGTTTGTCTTGATTCCTGTGCTGAGATTGCTGGAACGAGTTTGTCAACGCATTCCAAAATGCAGGGACTTCCGAGAGTATCTTGCGCAATATTATTGGTATTGGTAAGTTCATTGGTAAGCCTGTATTGGTAAGTTCAATGGTAAGCCTGTATTGGTAAGTTCAGTGATGACTACTACAATAAGCATAAGGCTAGAATGAACAACATACAAATTCTATCTGTAACAAACGCACGAACATTTCCTGGGTGCATAGCATCCATCGAGCGAGGAGCGTCGGGGCGCACTGAGCGGCGCTGGCCAACCCGAGATGGCGCACTAAGCGGCGCTGGCCAACCCGAGGTCCCATCCTCACTGAGCGGCGCTGGCCAGCCCGAGGTGGCGCACTAAGCGGCGCTGGCCAACCCGAGGACCCATCCGCACTAAGCGGCGCTGGCCAGCCCGAGGTCCCATCTAAATCAGCACACGCGTTATTGCACTCAGCAGCTGAAATTCAAGCGGTGTCGGAAAGCAAGCCTATCAAACCGCCAGACCGTGATCGGTTGATAGGAAGGCGCAGCTAAACATAGCACTGGCGCTCGGCGCTACGGTTCAAGCTTGACTCGCGAGTAGCAGCCCGTGGGCAGGGCGTCGGCAATGTCCTGTACGTTGGTCACTTCCAGCCGCAGGAAAGCGAGCTCGTCCTCGTAGTCTCGAACCTGTCAGAAGAGGCGCGCTGTCTGGGGTGTCTTAGTGGTCAGGGGGACGAGAGAGACGCTGAGATGCTGACAGAGAATGCGGTCGGGATATGAGATCGGCGATCAGGCTAAGTTCGGCCAGTTCATCTAATAGAAAACAGGCTGAAGTGTGAACACCACACCAAAACACGTTCAAGCTTTGTTGTTATAGGACATCTGAACACTGCGTGAGGGCGAAGACGTCTCAATGCTGCCATCAAATGGCGTTTGAATAGGGTCATGCCATTTCGGCAGGACCTGACCACATGCTGATCAGAAAAGGTCTGAGCACAGTGGGTAAAGGTCTCAACTGCTCAAATTGTATATGGGTGTTTTGAGCTGAGATAGTCATTTTGAAGACCAAGCTCAGTGCAGTTCACAGCCATGACATTTTTAAGACTTTCAACCCTCCCGTTTCTGAGCTTGATGCCCGGAAACTTGTGCAAGCTTTTTCGCGAATATTATTTCAAGGTCACCCAGGCACACATGACGCTCCCAAACATAACACAAATACCGCCATCTTAATGGCCATGTCAATGGTCCCCAATGTCAAGGAAGATATGAACATCAAATTATGGGTGTCTGGCGTACTGGCGTATCAACTGACCTTCAACCAATTTAATACGTTTAAAGCGAGTTTCGAATCTGAATCACGTCTTCTGTTACATAATACAGTTATAGGGGGCAGTGGCACTAGTTATGACGGAACCAAGGCTGGAAATCAAATAAGTCTAAAATAGCGCCATAATGAACGTGGGAATGCAAGGAAAATGCATAAATAACTACAAATATACAAGATCACCACGGAAAGGCGCCAAAATACGTGCGCATAACAATCGGGTTAAAAAAACACGCACCAGCGAATCTGCCAACCTCTCGGCATAGTGAAGCACCGCAAGTGAGTCCACCCGCCCATTGTAGTGGCAATTCTGACACGGCCAGCCTGGCAGCCACCTTGACGTCAACAAGGAGCTCCATGACGTAAATCGAACGATACCGTTTGGAGGAGCATATTCACTAAATAGTGTATTTTATTGTCTGGAACAAGATTTCTCACTGACGCCGTGCTCACCAGTCGGTTCTGCTGTGTGCGATAGGAGCGGAGCTCGTCCAGCCTCTGCTCGAGCTCGGCTCGTGCCAGCTCAGCCTCGGCCGCCTCCAGGCGCCGCTCCAGCTCGTCCAGCGCCGATGTGTCCAGGTCGCCGGCCGCCGCCAGCGCCGCCATGATCTCCTGCACCTGCTTCAGAGCCGCCGTCACCTTGGCAGAGGCGTCGGCCGCGCTGCTCTTGGCCTGGTTGGCCTTCTCTAGCGCCTCGCGCGCCAGCGCCGCGTCCCGGACCACCTGCCAAGAAGCAAGGTCCGTGCTACGCCCGGCTGACCAGCCTTATTTACAAGGCGCCCGTGAACTGCCGCCTTGTTTGTGCCAGGGCCATCAAGCCGGAGGAGTAGGTATGCCGGCTGACGTGAATGTTATTGGTGTTTTGCTTGAATATTAACTGAACTTAATTAGGCAGAATGGAAATGAAGTTATTCGCTTACGACATGTGGAAGTTACCCGATACTCAGGTTGGCATCGTCAGCATTATGTGGACATGGCCGTTTATTTGTTTCCGCCGCATGGGAAACTTGAGCGACCCTGAAATTTTGTCACGTGTCTTATTGCCACGGGTAAAATCTACTGTCTCACTTTTTAACCCATCGCAAAATGACGCACCAGTTTCCAGCTCGGGATTGCTGCCAGCCCTGCCCCAGCCGGCTCACGCCAGCCGCCAGTACTACCCTAGCCCGCTACCAGGCCAGCAACACTGACCTGCTCCTCGTACCGCTCCACCTGGACGGAGGTCTCGGTCACTTGTATGTTGAGGCTGCTGGCCTCGCTCTGCAGCTGGCCCGCCCGAATCTTTGTTTCGGCCGCCTCCGTCTGGATGGCGATGGTCTCACGGCGCGTCTGGTGACGAACACATGGGACAAGGTCACTGCAGCGTCCCCCCGGTCCCTAGCTGCTCTCCACAGGCGTCATCGGAAACGAAGTCAAGACTGATCTGGAGACAGTCATGCTGTTTTCAATAACACAGACAATACTGAAGAGGCAGTGACATTAAATGGCCTTCGGTGTACGAAGGGACATAAATAAGCATGTAAGGCATGACGAAGCATTGTATTAGGAAGAATGGTCTTTCCTGATACCATGACTTTTACATCTCAACAATGACACTATGCTGCTCATAAATGCTCACTCCGAACCCTCTTCGTAATGCACAAAAGACCGTTTATTGTCAGTGTGCCTGTCTCACACCACTACATCACATCACTACATCACTTTCCCTATTTCTTTCCATTTCAAGATCAGTTCACAGGAAAATTATCCATGCGACGTCCAAAATAGAGTGCGTGAACATATTGCATCATATATTATATATATATATATATATATATATATATATATATATATATATATAATCTCTCTAAAACATGCAACATCTCTCTCCATCTCTCTCTCTCTCTTTCCTCTCTCTCTCTCTCATTCCCTCTCTCTCTCCCTCCCTCTCTCTCTCTCTCTCTCTCTCTCTCTCTCTCTCTCTCTCTCTCTCTCTCTCTCTCTCTCTCTCTCTCTCTCTCTCTCCAGTCAGCTGACCGCATCTAGCCCACCGCTCCACCGGCCCCGGCCGTCGGCCGCCGGGCCACCGACCTCCTCCAGCAGCGCCGCCGCGTCGCCGGCCATGTCGCGAGCTTCGTCGGCGTTCCGCTCGGCACCTTGCAGGGCCGCACGCGCGTCCACCGTCCTCTGCTCGGCCTCCTCCACCAGACGCAGGATCTCCTGCACCAGCCTGAGCGCGTTCAGCGCCTCCTGGCGCGACTCCTGCACCTGCCGGTCGAACCGCTGCAGCGTCTCCAGCGTCTTGCGCGCCTCCTCCAGCGTCTTCTCACCGGCGGCGACCGCCTGTATAGCCTATCGGAACGGCGCCGCACGTCAGTTCCTCACGCTGGCCGCCCAGGTCACCTGGTGGAAAACATGGTGCGTCGGTCGTTTACACTCATACTGCGTCCGTTACTACAGTTATTGTAGTAAAGGCTACCTGGCAACCACGGTGGCCAGGGGTGCAGATTCACAAAATGAGTTGGGCGGGAGCGGGGGGAGGGGGGGCTCGAGAGTGAATAATGGCCTACCCGCCCACCCCCTCAAAAAATGCCAACAAAAAGGTCCTGCCCAGATTTGTCCTATTTTCTTCCCAAAGTCGGGGAGGACGGCGAGAGGGAGCCAAGCCAAGGCCGAAGCCAAATTTGGCGGACTGAAGCCCTTCCTCCCCCAGTGAACAGGAGACTGCACCCTGACGGCGGCCGTCCGGCGGATGACACCCGTCCCTGTCCACAGTCCGCGGGCGTCATGGCCGGCCGCCATCTTGACATGTAGACACGTGACGTCCGGGTCGATTGTGAGGTCCGTGATTAGCTCGGAGCGGCCAGCTCTCGAGCCAGCTCGGGTCTGCCGTCGTGCCACAGTCCGTCGCCTCAATAGGTTTGTGGTGACGTCACTAACGCCTTGCATAGTCGCTCAGCTGGTTTGACCGGTTTGATAAGTGGCCGCCGCGGCCGCAAAGCCTACTGAGACAGACTCCTTTGATTTGCCGGTTGGCGACAAGGGACGCCGTCCAGAGATCCCTCGTATTTTGGCCCTGGGCGTCTGTATGCAATCAGTTGCATTGGCAAAGACTGTGGTGACGTCATCAGCCTGCCCCTTACATCAATGGAGCAGTCATCGCATGGCTGTGTGGCAACCAACGCAGGACTGGTAACAACTATGTGGCTAATGTTTGGCCTCGTTGATGTTATGGCGGGTAAAATCTTTTCACTAATATTTCTGGCAAAGGCCAACGAAGGACAGAGATGATTAATACCGATCCATTTCAAACAGGCGGTTTCAATATTCACCATAGCACATTACCCGCACGCGATCACACGATGGAACAATCGAAACTGGAGGAATCCGGATTTGCTTTAAACGTACCAAACTGACTGATCACTGGCCTATTCCTTTCAAGATTATTGAACGTATCATCTCACACGGGCGGTCTCCCCGGCGCTGTGATGTCGCGCATCGGCCGACACGGCATCGCCGCCTGCCGACCAGCGCCGACTAGCGCCGACCAGCGCCGACCAGCGCCGACCAGCGCCGACATACAGTCAGCAGACCGGTTACCTTATCACGAGCGGCTGTAACGTCGGCCAGCAGCTTGTCAGCCGCCTCCTGCTGGCTGATGCCGCGCTCGATCAGGATCGTGATGGAGCTGATGTCGGTCGTCAGCGACTCAAGCATCGGACCGTGCTCGCGGGTCAGCGCCTCCAGGTCAGCCTTCAGGCGCAGTGCCTGCGGTGACGCCAGATGTCAGGGGTCAGCGAACGACGCTCACTGCAGTGGTCTGAAACGGGCTGCTCCTCTGCTCGGAATGTTTACAGACTACGTTCACAACCGTATTAATGACGCGGGGACAGTTCCCTTCTCGCTGTAGCCTGATCCACTAGCTAGTCATACAAGCTGGGCCAGGAGCGAAACTCTCCAAAACCATTGTGTCTTCAGGAGCCTTTATCGAGTGTCAGTCCGCCGCGCCATTGTCTCCTCTGAAGCTCGTTTGCCTGCACACACCGCAGTGCTCTTGCTACCGCCTGCCGACCTCTTTCTATGCCAGCTTTTCCACGGTGGTGTAACATGGCCATCGTATTTGGGGTACCCCGAAGTGTAAATGCTAGACTTGTAAACTGCATGTGCAAAGCAAACTGCAAAGTAAACTGCAAAGTAAACTGCATGTGAAACTGCTGATGGTCAGGGGTCCATCTGGAACGTTCGAGACTCTTCTCGTCCCACCGCTGTTTCACCCAAACCGGCTTCAAGTCTTCGTCTTGTCCCGGCACGCTCTTGACCTTGTCGGAACGTGTGCGCCGCTTTGCAGCACCTGACCAAACTTGACATCACGCGACTCGGTCCCGAGGTTTTACCTACTGCAGTGCACTGCTGACTGACCTAGTCTGACCCGATCCGAGCCGAACTCACACGCCACTGCTGACCTAGGTACTAAAGGTCACTCGGGGCCAGCGCCGAACCTGACCTGCCCCAACTCAGGCAACTTCGGGGCTATTCCTTGTCATGGCCCGCCATTGGCTTGACCTGGGCTAAGGAGACCTGACCCGGATTTAAGTAGCTCTCCTGATACAACCCTTCCAGCTCGTCCTTAACCTGACCCCACCACGCTCTGATGAGCTCCCCTGATCCCGCCCCTGTTCCGGCTCGTCCTTAACCCGACCCGACCAGGCTCTGTCGAGCTCCCTTGACCCGGCCTCTGTTCCGGCTCGCCCTTAACCTGACCCGACTTGATCCGGCTCCGTATTGTTCCCAGGCTTGATTAGTTGCCGAACCTCGGCCTTCGTGCACACTGGGGCCAAACGCAGCACCTGAGCTGAGATGAGGTGCTGTGACCACGACTGTAACCAGGTCCCTTGCCGCGATCCACTCCTGACCCTTCCTGACCCTATATGAGTAGCTCGGCTCGGAGCGGCTGCCTGTCCCAGGCCGCGGCTGACCTCAGCCTGGAGGTAGTCGGCGCGCCTCTTCAGGCCGTCGATGTCGAGCCCACCGAAGTTGAGCCTGGCCTCGCTGTACACGCTGAGAGCCGTGTCGTACGCCTCGTTGGCCTCCTTCTGCGCTTGCGTAGCCAGATGAATGGTCTGCAAGACCAGCGTCTCCGTGCTGCTGAGACTGGACTCCAGCAGGCTGGTCTCCGTACTGCAGGCAGCAGGGGCGTAAATGGGATTTGACAACAATGCTCTATGATCAGCCAATGCTCGGAGCCAATGATCAGCCAATGCTCGGAGGTGCAAACTAGTCTGGAGGCGGATGGGAATGTCACTGGGTTGAAAAGCAGAAGTATTACGACAATGCGATCGTTGTTTGTGCCGTGAAACTACGCAGGGCGAAGTATTCTGCAAGACCTCGTGCCTTCACTAGCGATACCCCTGGTCGGCAGGCACGACAGGCCAGCTGACGACGGGCCAGCTGACGACAGGCCAGCTGACGACTGGTCAGCTGACGATAGGTCAGCTGCCTGGCGTCGGCTCAGCTGCAGCAGGTCCGAAGAGTCTGGGTTTTGGCTCAAGCATGGCATGCACTGTGGTGTGGTGTGGTGACCGGTTGCATCAGGGGCCCGGCAGTGCGTCCAACGATAGCAAAAAGCTAAACGCAAACGTCAAACCTGGTTACGGCCGATTGTAACGTCCCATGGCTCTGATAAGAGTTGCTTTAAACCCGCGGCTTTCTGAAAAGGCTTTCGACCATGAGAGACTCCATGTTAGTATTGGTTTTCAGCATGGCAATGAGTGTCACATAAATTTTAACGCGTGTTTTGAAGAAGCCAATCTACACCCATACCGTGCATTCACAGCCAACACGAGCATGGAAATCCTTGTCACCCGTGCCTGAGTGCGCTCACCTGTAGTTCCGCTGCTGCTCCAGCAGCTTATAGGCGAGCTCATAGGCGGCCGACGAGTTGGAGACGGCCCAGCCGGCCACGTCAGCCAGGATGTCGGCTTCCTGCTCGTGTCGGTCAGCCAGTTGACGCGCCTGCCGCGCGATCTCCGACATACGCGCACTCTGCAGGCCGAACTGCTTGCTTTGCTCGACGGCGCGCCGCAGGGCATCGGCGCCGTCGCCTTCGAGGAAGTCCAGGGCACCGCTCAGCGCCTGCTTCAGCCGAAGAATGATAGCCTCGGCCTCGGTGATGGCGCGCTCACCCTGGCCGGCCACCACGCGGCCCTGCTCGATGTGCACCAGGATCGAGCCGGCCACCTTCTTGACCTCCTCAATCCGCTCCTGGTGGAGCAGAGGGGAGGGGGAGAGGTTACAACAGTGTCTGGGGATGGGTTTGCACGAGGGAGGGGAACTCACTCGCAGCAGGGCATGGCACAGGTTCGTGAGCAGGGAATATGAGGGTGGAGAGATGCAGCTGATCAGTGACAGGTGTAAGAAGTTGAACACAGGACCGAACATTCGATAAGCAGAGATGCAGCATATGGCGTATTTCTGCTGAGATAAGCACTGCGGTGGTAAGGTGGCGAAGAGCTGTTAAAGGGACACAGAGCCCCACCAATGAATCAGTTTCTTGGCAGCACTTTGACCATTTTAATACGGACCGGTAATTCATTCAAACACACATGAACAAGAAGAAAAAACACAACCTAGATCAAGTCTAGTTTTTCAGTTTGTCGGATTAAGTCCTAACTGAAATATAAGCCGACGGTCCAAAAGTAGCGCTCACAGATGGCCCTCAGTCCGGCTCAGTGCACTTTTTTACACGCCGTGGTACAGCAACAAAGACAGACACATACTGAATGCGGATAGAACAGATCTGTAGCATTCACATACGTTATGTGCAAAACGTTGTCCTTACATCGGTCCGCTACGGCCGTCTGGAATCGCAGCAGACTACTTGCGCGCCCTCTAACCTGCGCCCTCTAACCTCTAATTCGTTATAGATGACGCGCAGGTTGTCCTATTGGCAAACATGCATTCGGAGCCTACTGGAAACAGGCGCCAGGCCACGACACCCTGCAATATCACGGCTCCTGTCCTACCAGGCCGGCGGCCCTCAGCCTTCAGCCTGATCTGACCTGACCTGACCTGGAGATCGCCGAGCAGCTCGAGCGGCGACGAGTCGCGGATGATCGCGCGGCGCGCATCGTTGAAGAGGTCCTGGATGCTGGTCGAGACAATGGCGATCTGGCGTAAAAACTCGCGGTCATCCTGCAGCGAAGAGCCGGCGCCGATGCTCCGCAGCAGCTCTGACAGCTGCGTCAGACGCTCGCGGTGCGTCTGCACCGCCTCCTCCACCAGCGCGTAGCAGGGTGGACAGTCTGCGAACGGAACATAAGCTGTATGTTGCACAGCCTGCTCAAGCTCCACTTACGAAACAGGGCATGGTGAGCATCCTTTAGAGTGCGAGGTAGGATTATGAAAAGTAGCGGGGGGAAACTGTGCACAGGATCACGGGAAATAAGTTGAAATGAGTAGGGCTCAAAATGCTGATTAGACCAGGAGTAAATAATATCTTTCACTTAAACTGAACCTAAGATGGAAGCTTCTCAAGTCCGTCTCCGACATAATCAGAAGTGGAATTAAGGAGAACTTCTATCGCCTCGTTAGTGTGTGAATAAAACGTTGTGTACCACATCCGCTATCCTGACCAGGCGTGGATTCGGTGAAATAGGGGACAGTGGTCCCGTTTACACAGGGTAACAAGGGAAAGCCTGATAAGTAAAATGTTAATACAACCATAATTTGGCGCAGTTATGATGCTGAATACAAATCGTTTCAATTGTGATTATACACGCTTGAAATGACTTCGAAAAACTTGCACCATATGTACGAGTATGAATCATGTGGTCGTTGGTAAGAATCATTTCCAGGCCACCATGCTTCGCATGACAGTGTGGCTGCACTCGCAATAACGGCTTCGCTGCCATATTGAAGATTTCTAAATCTTGGGATATTTGACTAGATGCCGGTTGGTTGGCGCATGTAACGTTGCTGTGACGTCGACACGAATTTGTTGCCTTAGACGCGAAGTCGTCGGGCTCCAACAGACGCGTTATTTTTAAACCTTGAAACTTCCATCACTGGCGCGGAGCGAGCGGACGCCTGAGCTATTGCGGTGCGTTTATTTCATTGTGAGCGCCAGCGGTGGATTGAGCCGTTGTTAGGAAGGTGTAGCTAATCTGAGGCGTGTGGAAAAGACGTGAGTAAGTTGAGACTTCACGTTCTGTAAGCGCACCGTCCCCTTTCAAATGCGCTAATGCTGGGCAGTGCGGATGCTCAGTTTGCCGGATTTCCGTACCAGGCTGACAACATCTCTAATATGCTATTTAAACTCGAATAGTATGTCGCCGTGAGATGATAGCTGCGGACACATCAATAGGCGCACAAATGTGTGCTCAGCATGTAATGGAGCGACATGGCGTGGCGGCACCACCGCTCAGAGACGCCAATCCCCCTGGACAAAGCGGTCTTCCCTGGACTGTGCCGCAATACACCACCGCATGGCGGGTCAGACGGAGCCCCTTGGTCGCTCAGGCGGGCCAGTTTCACAAAGAAGACGATTTACCTTAATGATTACAGTCGTTCCTCATGAGCATATGCTCCATAAACCGATTTATGAGGTTGAGATGGCTTCTTCATGGCTGACTTTTGGTCAATTTATGAAACCAAACTAACTCCTTTCATGCCCATATGTTCCGACAGAGTTCTTACAAAACATGTGACTTTGTGTCTGTTATGAAACAAGGTGCGGGTTCGTTATCACGTCAGTCTGTACGCACCACAGTAAATGGCGTTCTTCTGAAAGGGTCTTAGTGATGATTACATGGTTGGTTGTAGCACCCGTATTCACCCGATCGGATGGATTCTTGATTATTCTGTAGATATGCCCTCGAAATACGGCAATAATCATGCCACCCCTCAACAGGTCCTTTCATGATATTAAACCAACGTGCATCCATTTCATGATTTGGATCAATCAGTAATGCAGTGACGTCCTCGTTCATGTGCGCGTCGGCGCTCTGTTTTCGTCTGCACTTTAAGTAGTTTTTGTTCTCATCATCGAAGTACTCGCCAGCACACCTTTGGCCTCGTAGATCTCCTCGTAGCGGTCCTCGCATTTCCTGCAGGTCACCTACGTCTGTGTCATCAGCGACCCGACGTCTTTCTCCCGCCCCAGCCCTGAGGAGCAACGACCGCCGGCGGTGCCGTCTTGGCGGGTTACATGTGCGCGCATACGTAAACCGGAGCCGACGCCGCCGCGGTGGACGGGTGCCCGCGGCGGATTAATGACCCAGCGGCCGCGCCGGCTCCGGTGGCGGCCGCGCCGGCCACCGGAGCCGGCCCGGAGCCGGAGCCGCGCGCTCGGCGGCTCCCTGCCTGGTGATGGGCCGAGGCCTGCGGCGCGCGGCACCAACCGGGCCGACGTTGCCGCCGCTGGTGCGCCGACGCTGAAGAATGGGCGGGGGGAGCATACGCTGCGGGGCTGCCCCGCAACAGGCGCCCTGATAAACGGCGAGGTGGGTACTGTCGCTGTGGCGCAGGTAGATATGAGGGAAGATTGGTGCGAATGCCAACAGGCGAGTGCAGATAACTGCTGAGTTGGTTGAGCAACTATTGTTGGACCGCCCCAGGTACGTTCTTTCACCGGAAATCGTGCTTTGATTTCTTGGTTTGTGGCTGCGACTGATTTTTTTGTCCATATCACGTCATCGTCGTCCAGGTTGACATACTCGATAATCAGCTCGATAGGGATCTGGCTTCCGTCAACAGCAGCTCTTGTACCAGGAAATTGGGAAGCCGGTGGTATCAGTAACAAGGTAATCACATTTTTTTTATTCCATCAAGCTCTGGGCATTGAAATGGGTTTCGTTCCGATCTGCATTTGATTGCCTCATGTCTACCAGCTATTTATTAATCACACTCAACTATTAATCATACTGTTTCGATGATTTCCCGACGGATTTGATGTCGTCACCACAAGCATTACAAGCCGATTGCATTGCATTGAGTGCCGACTGTGCAGACAACTTGGAAATGCGGCCGGTGGTACCACCAGTCGTCGAGACCCTTGGCGTCCTCCAAGTGCATCAGAGACATGAGCAAATCCGAAATGGTTGTGAGTTGAACCTCCGCCGGCTTGCGTAGTTCTTTCACTAGGACTGGCCTCAAGGTAAAAAGTGACCATTGCCGATATTTCAGGGTGGGATGCCAGGGTCGTGCAAGCTGGCTTAATGTTGGTGGCAGCATTTGGCCGAATGTGACCTAACGACTTAGAACTCTGGTATGGACATAGTTCTTAAAACTTTCACGGCCACGAATGACTCCGATAATATAACTATCTGGCATCTGTACAACTACTCATGCATTACTCCACATGCACGAGATTATACTGCGCAAATGGCCGAGTTGCATTATTGGTACAGCACAGCACTCTGTTACAATGAAGCCTTCGAAATCAGCGTTCCAGTGTTCGGCTCTAGACAGCCGCCGTCCATAAGCCGCACATTTTCACTCCACCTCAAGTGTGACATCAATGGTGCTCGAAAGACGCGCGGCTCATCATAAGCCTGACTGGGCGGGTTATGTGCAGCTGCTAGAAACACCATCAGTTGGGCCAACGCACTTGGGGACAGGTCATTCAGACTAAGTAAGCTATATGGTCCGCCGGATGCTGCAACAGTGGCTGGTCGCTTTGTTTCACTCCTAGCATATTATCAGTAAAGTGACTCGATGGCTCCTTTTCAAATTCATTCTCAGCGCCCAACCAAGCGACCCTTGCACGAAACAGTTCCGGAGATTCCAAGGCGATCCCGCTCTCTGTGATTGGGTTAGCCCACTAGGCCCACCTATCTTACGAAGTCGTAGACGTTTCTCATTGGTTAGTTATGACGCAATATCATATTATTTTCGTGCCTCGTTGTAATGACCGTTTCCGTCTGAAAGCGGTCAATAAGACGAGCCGTCTATTACCATTTATATTCATTAGACGTGATAACTCGCTGAAGCACAAAGTTCGCTGTTGGCTGTGCGTGCTGTGGTGTGGAGTGGGTAGGAGAGGGTGCGATGCTAGCCGGTAGAAGTTCTAGACTTACAAGATTTGTGTTTGCTTGACTCGAGGGAAGAACTGGCATGGGCGGGGTCGTCAATAATATCAGTTATAATTCTCTCGCTCGTCTTCACCACAATCTTCGAGATTCATGCAGACTGCAAAGAACCGGGCTTTGATTCTGTAACTTGACATTGTAAAATGTGTCACTTTTTAGATTAGATGTGGGCGATTTATAATCCTGGGTACTTATGGTTTGTTGTGCGGTCCAGATGATATAACTGGAAACCAGAAAAGTTCGCGAAGATTATATCCTGGTTAACTCAACGCTGCTGGAGGCAGCAAAGGCATCGTATATATATATATATATATATATATATATATATATATATATATATACGTATAAGGGCTACCGGCCTGAACCAAGTTATTAGCGCCACGCCTTGGGCTGGGAGACGAGATCGATGTAAAGTACGCCCGGTTGATCTGCCCCGGAAAATATTCACCTCACATTTAAGAAACGAACAGATCTGATAGGACATAATTAGGGATGCCCTTTGCCTTCAGATACCTTTCATTCTAATACGTCCAACTAGGAGCGTGTGAGCTAAACCTATTTCACTCAATACGGGTGTGAAGAGAAAGCCTTTTGATCAGCCATAGTTAGGTTATAGCAATTCATCCGGCCTTCGGATGCCTTATGACCCCAGAACCAATAGCAGGTTTTATGGCAATTCAATCACCATTCAATTTTTATGTCTGCCGTTGGCCCCAAGGAAATTAAAAGCAATCACATACCGGCCACTTGCGAGAGGCTGAGCGTCTGACGCTCCGCAGTCCCCGCTTAAACAGCTGCACGGTGCCGATGTTAATGGGCCGCTTCCCGGGGCTGGCCATTGGGCGTGACAGATCGGCACGGACTTAACGCCAGGCTGGTCTGTGCAGGAGCGTTGGCAACTAGACCGGGTGAGTGTCAGCGCATTGTTAAAGAGATGGACATCACCCATGATGCCGATAACTGAAATACATGCCGCGTTTTTCTTACAGTAGCTTGCAAGTAAGACGCCTTCTGAGACGTGGCACGGAGGTCATAAAAGACGTGAGTGTTCTCATGCAGCTGATGCCAAATCATAACCGAATGAAGTCCGGCACCTTTGGGAGCCGATACACATTAGTCATACCAATGCATTGTAGTGACCTTCTATTATGAGGTTATCATGCTGAGATTCACCAATGTATAGCATTCTCGTGCACATCGGCGAGAGGCATTGCTTCAAATCCGGCTGGCTTTGGACCCCGAAGGCACGACCATGATAGCCGCGGAAACTGAATTTATACTTTGCCGTCGAAAATGAGACTGACTGGACCGGGCCCGACCACCAAGAGCTTCCAAACTTTCGATTATGTAGCATTAAAACTAGCTAGCAAAAATTAAAATTTTGGTTAGCACCAAGAATGGTTCAGGTTATGTAGGGGACTGAACGGAGCATCCACATCGATCGGAAATAAGCGCGTGCTCTCAATTCAGTTCCCCTCTTGAACAACTCAAAGGCGACTAGCACAATGCGCTTGCCCTGGTTGGAGAAAAAAAACATTTTAAAAAAAGCTATGCACATCGCATCAACCTGCTCAGGACAATGTTAAATCAAGTAAATTAGCACGGGTCTTGAGACAAATCACGATGTAAAGATAAAGTTAAGTCTGTTGTTAGGAGTTATTAACGCGAATTAACACCGACGCTAACCAATTGCGGCCTTTTTTAAATCTTAAAGCCACATCACACCTCGTAATCTGAAGCGCACCGAACAAGTGATAAGCTTCGAACACGCAAAGGATTTGCGGGAGCGAAAGCGCATCACGGCCAGGAGTGACTAATCTCCCGAAATAGCGACGGGCTGGAACCCCGACCCTGCTCCTTGCCGAGCCGGCTCGAGACAAAGACATCGTTACCGTCAGAAACAAAGACGTCGCCACAGTTGCACAGCATGCATCAACGGTTCAGTGGAGTCCATGGTGCGACCCAGGGTTAATGTAAAGCCTGAGCACAAGAGGGAAATTCACAACGCCAGACTAAAACAGGACAGGGCATAAGGCAGGCCAAGATCTGTCCGACCAATATCACCACCCGTCTTATATATTTTAGCTCCTGGAGGAGTCAATACCGTGGCACAGCAGCCTCCGCGAAACAGGCCCGGGTTGCACCGGTGGGGGGCCAGCTGCCAGCACCTGTTGGGTCCTGGGCGCGGGTCAGCAGCACGGCAGCGGCCGTGCAGAGCAGCAGCAGAGCGGCCCGCATCTTGTCTCCTGCCGCGAGCCGCGACGGGCGGCGACTCGGCCACTGGACGACTGTTCACACCAGCCACCGGCAGACGCAGGCTGGGTGCTCCCGCGCCGACCGCGGCACTCGCTGTCCTGTCGGTCTCTGCCGTCCTGTGGTGTGAGTACCCTCTCGCCTGCGACTGGCAGCAGCACGCTCACACTGACGCCACTGTCCGCGGCGTCGAGCGCAGCAGAGCGGGACGCGACCGGTCAGTCGGTGCTCCGTCGGTCACCGCGCCTCTCGCCGCCGGATGCGTCCTCGGCCCGGCCGGCGTACTCGGCGTGCTCTGCGGCTACGGCCGCCGCCTCTTGGCAGCCGCCCGACCGGCTATAAATACCTCACAGACGGCGCTTCCAGGCAGCGATCGTCTCGATCGGCCCACCTGCCAGTGTCAACACGAGGCGAGACGGAGGCGGAGGCGCCGACGCGTCCGCGTGCGCTCCCGCCGGCCGCAAAAACGCAGACGGAATCGATGTCACGCGCAGGTCCGGCGCGGGCTGCCTGACCGGCGGCCGCGTAAAAACGGCGCCCCCTGCCGACCTGACGGACCTGGCGGCGTGACCGGGTCAGTGCTGGCCGTGCGTAGACTCATCAAGCAGGCCACGTGGACCACCGACCCTGACCGGCTGGTCTGCCCGCACCACAGCCAACCGGTCCGAGGACCACGCTGCTCCGGTCCGTGTGACGGGTCTGGCGAGGACCGCAGGCCCTCCTTGGGTGGTCAGTAGGCCGCACACGGGGATCAGCCACTGAACCACGGTCGACACTGGTGCTGATGGGAGTGCTGGCTCCCACCTCAGCTTGTGAGAGACCGACGAACGGCACCGCTCTCCGCCGCGCACCTCGACCGCGTCCGGCCCGCGCGGAACGTCCGGCAGACGGCCGCCGGAGCTGCCGTGGCGGCGGAGGTACCGCCCGCACGTGGAGCCGGCGCCGCACTGTCGGCGACTGCGGCGAGTCGCTGGCTGACCCGACCCGCCGCGGCCGGCAGCGGACGGTGACCGGTGCCGGCCGAGCGGCCGCGATCAGCACGCTCAAGGCACTACCACGGCGGCAGGCTCGCAATACGGTGACCGGCTGCTGTCGTCACTGTGTGACCGGGGAGCGATCGGGCAGCCGGCAGATGATGGCCATGCTCTGGCTTGGGCTTATCGTGCCCCACCCTCTGTGTCGCCCGGAGAAGGCACCCGTTGATGGATTGGCGATGCCGTGCTGCAAAACGTACCCACGACAAATCCACGCCGTGTCGTCAGTCCTGGTACGCTTTGGTAGTCAGCCGTATAAAAAGACAGGCCATACAGGAGCCTCCACAGCTCCAACGGCAGCGAACGCACACGACGGAGTCGGTTTCTGTGTTCGTTTTTTCCCCGGAGACAGTGCTAGCAGCTTGAGGTCTAATCTGGGAGGTTTGTCCCAGGAGGTCTGTGCGACCGGTCGATGCTGTTCATGCTCCCCGCACGTATGCACTTTGGCCTTATATTCCGGGTTCAAGGATAGCAAAGCGAGACGGGAAAGGGAAAGAAGGACCCCCTCAAGAGTTGGTGAGCAGTGGCAGGCAACAGCCCATTGCAGTTGAAACTAAGGGGCGTCTCAGAAGAGGAAAAGAAGTAGTCTTCTGCGAGTCCAGTGACGCAGGGCTGCACTTTTCACGTGGGACATGTCACCTGTGAGTGTACTCGACCACATACGACCCCACCATTGACCACGCACCGATGTCACGGCCACACGAGCCGCTGGCCTCGGCGCCGATTCAGCGGCAGACGGGTGCGGCCGTGGGTGTGACTCTGAGCGCCGCCCGCGGCCGGGGCAGGCTCTGCACCGCCCATGAGCACCGCGTATGGCCGGCTGGACACGCTGCCGCGCCGGGCCCGGCCATGTGGAGCGCCGGCAATAGATCGCGGCGGCGGCCACTCCACCCAAAAGCAGCGCGCCGGGCGTAGGACCGCTGCCGGGGGTGTGCAATAACCTGTTCTGCGGGCTCTGCCGCTCCGGGTTACGCCATCCACCAGCGGGTCTGGCGCGCCTCGCCAGACAGCTGGTGCTCCGACACCTTTGTTGGACGGACGGGTGTGTCGGAGTGGAGGAATGGGCGCATTGAAAGAGATGCCGTGCAGAGGCAGTGAGAATACGTCCAGGGCAGCGGCTGGAGAAATCGGAACGCGCGCGTGAGACAGGCAGCGACAAAAACTGGCGGGTTACTGTGGCGAGTCTGACTTCCTGCGGCATGCTACTGTAGAGGTCTTAACGGCGCTCCATAACCCTGATTTGGATTATCCTGTGTGCAGCACCTAGCGGTGCTTAGCAGCATAACAGCCTGCGGCTCAGGATTCTCAAATGCGCGGCGATTTTAGTGCGAAGTCAAAGGACTAAAGGCTTTTCTCGACTGACATGGAGCATCGTTCAGATTCGTAGGCTGGTTTTCGACCTGTGCCTTTGACCCGAGCACATTGCGCGGCGTAAGTGACGAACTGAAACCTGCCTGGTTAACTTTTCCACCCAGTCGATGTGAATAGGTGGGAGGATCGCTTATTTGGCAGAATGCCAACAGGCAGTGCTTGTCGGAGTGTCGGTGCCGTGCGACTGTTGCCAACAGTGTGATGCGCTGCACTCATGACCCCGACGTCGTCACCTGCTCCACGGCAAGCCCGGTTCTCGGACCACCCAGCCAGACAGCGCATCCCCCGACGTCGTCTCCTGCTCCACGGCAGGCCCGGTTCTCGGACCACCCAGCCAGACAGCGCATCTCCCGACGTCGTCTCCTGCTCCACGGCAGGCCCGGTTCTCGGACCACCCAGCCAGACAGCGCATCCCCCGACGTCGTCTCCTGCTCCACGGCAGGCCCGGTTCTCGGACCACCCAGCCAGACAGCGCATCTCCCGACGTCGTCTCCTGCTCCACGGCAGGCCCGGTTCTCGGACCACCCAGCCAGACAGCACATCCCCCGACGTCGTCTCCTGCTCCACGGCAGGCCCGGTTCTCGGACCACCCAGCCAGACAGCTCATCCACACCAACATGCACTATCTCCATCTGCGGACTGAGCCAGCGCGCCAGGACCTCCTGTCTGACCCACCGTCGCACTGAAAAACGGACAGGCCAGGATTTCTATCATTCTCCTCGCAAAAATCGGCTGGGGTTTACGTATTTTCACCGTTATCACATTCTACCAAAGCGAGGGAATCCTGAATCCAGCATGGCCTCGTGCATCCATAAGTATTGTTGCACAGAATCAAAACGGGGTGGTGTGTTGGCTTCATAGGCCTGTCTGGTCTCCGTTATCGTCACACACCAGAGGAACACGGTCACAGTCAACAGAGCCTCGTCCCCTCCATCTCACGCCACCCACGGTCCTCGGGTCACGCTTCAGACAGACAGGTCTGTGTGCTCGCAGGGTGGCTCGAGTATCACCTGCCTATTGCAGCGCAGACTCGCATCCGTTCGCCAGAGCCAGAGCCAGAGCCAGAGCCAGAGCCAGAGCCAGAGCCGGAGCCAGAGCCAGAGCCAGAGCCAGAGCCATGTGCTCCGGACGGACCGCGGCCGCCGCTGAGCCAAGAGGCAAAACGAGCTGTGTTGTGAAGGCTAGTGGACCTGCATGACGCTGTTGGAAGGGAATACCTGTTCGGTCGATAGTCGCTGCCCCCTTAGGTGGCAGAGTCACGATCGCGGGAGCATATCATGCCCTGGCCACTGACGGCTGAGACGGCAGAATCCCGATCGCAGGAGCATATCATGCTCTGGCCGCTGACCGCTGAGACGGCAGAGTCCCGATCGCAGGAGCATGTCATGCGCTGGCCGCTGACCGCTGAGACTGCAGAGTCTCGATCGAAGGGGCATGTCATGGTCGCTGACCGCTGAGACGGCAGAGTCTCGATCGCAGAAGCATGTCATGCCCTGGCCGCTGACCGCTGAGACTGCAGAGTCTCGATCGCAGGAACATGTCATGCCCTGGCCGCTGATCGCTGAGACTGCAGAGTCCCGATCGAAGGGGCATGCCCTGGCCGCTGACCACTGAGACGGCAGAGTCTCGATCGCAGAAGCATGCCATGCCCTGGCCGCTGACCGCTGAGACTGCAGAGTCTCGATCGCAGGAGCATGCCATGCCCTGGCCGCTGACCGCTGAGACGGCAGAGTCTCGATCGCAGGGGCATGGCCGCTGACCGCTCAAGCGGCAGAGTTCTGATCGCAGGAGCATGTGATGACTGTCGTGATTATCATAGCGCCATGCACATTTGCTGGCGTTTGATTTGATGCGCTCTGACTTAACCAGACTATTGGGTGTCTTTGCGCGAACAGAATTACTGCATCAACCCAATGTTCCTGCAATTTTTAGCTGAAAGCTAGTTCTTTCATCGAACTGGTTTGTCGCTAAAAAAAGTAGAATGACGGTAAACAAGGTCCATTTGTTCATTGCCGGGTGAAAAGGGTAGCGTCGTTGTGATTCCTGCTCCGTGGGATAATCTTATAATCGGAGGTTTATAGAAGGATATTTTAGGCATTTGAGTAAGATATGTTTGGTTTTAACGGGGCGGTCACAAGCTACGGAGCATGGGAGAGCATCTACAGAGCATGGAAGAGCTTCTGTTAATCAACGTATGGGGAATTAGTTGTGCATAACCGATGCGAATCCTGACGAACATCTCCTCGTACTGTCTGTGCCCTACGTTGGAAGAGCACTAGTTGTCAATGAAAGGTTTGATGTTTCACATTTACGTCAGGGCGTTTGAAGTCATTGTGTCACATTTAAGTTGGACCATTTATCTTGCTATTTTTCATGCAGTGTCTGATGGATGGCTCGACTGATTGAAGACCAGCACTTGTAGGTGTGGTCAATTCAAGAGAAAGGACTTTATTTGATATCCAATCAGCCATCTCGCTGCCGTCTCTGCTACTGTGGCATAGTGTCCATAGAAGTTTTACAACTTGTGACTCAAACAACTGTTGATGCACATTCAGTATCGAGATACAAAGTGCAAACATGAAGAAAAGACGCGTAGTAATCGAAATGCATGCTTTGAATGATGAAAGGCACCTGTTTGGCTAAATTCCATTGCTCCAATAAGCTAAAAGCTTCATATACGCCGGAAGTCCGGCGACGAAAATTGAAGCATTGCTTACGAGGACAATTGGGAGAACGCGGAACCCACATACTGCTGCACTGGTCGTTAAGTGCTCACCCTTCGAGCAGTGCGCATACAGAAAATAATAATTTGAATTATTTGCAAGTAAGCAGATGAATTCTTACCGCAAGTTTTTAGCGTTTACCGATTGTCATGATGTGAGAAGTTGGAATCAGGGAGG